ACCTGGTTTTCTCACTTGTGAACAGAAATGATGTTTACTTCTTAGGTGTGCTATGGGGAGTAAATGACTGACCTGTGAACATGTTCATCTCACATTAGCTCCAATAAGAGCCACATGGCCAAGACTCACCGATAGCCAGGCCACCTCTGGACTTCCCCATCAAGTGAGCCAAGAAACTCCCTTTCTCGGTGCGGTGCGCCAGGTTGCATTGAGGTTTTCAAACTTGGCAACCAGAATTTCTGACCCAAACACTATTTTGATCTCCAGTTAGATAGATGAGGAACCTGAAGATCAGAGAGGTTAAAGGTGGTTGCTCACAATACCAGAATAAGACTTGGGCACGGTTCTATTTGACCTGTAAGTCTACTCAGAAACAGCCTTTCCACTCTCCACTCAAAGCCTGTGTGCTTGGGACCCTCGATTCCTGCTGGTGGGATTTCTTCTTACATGTTCTTTCAGAGGGCTCCACAAGGGCAAGAACTCGATCTGGGGAGAAAAGAGGCACCACTGTGGCAGCCTCCTGATCTTGGTCTGGCCCTCTGTTGAATGTATCAAAGATCACGCTTGTGAGGATTGTTTTGCTCATGGTCCACTGAACCATATCCCAAGTCTGTGCTCCCTGGAATGTGGTAAGAGGAAAGACAAGAGGAAAAATGATCTCAGACACTGCATCTCATTCCCAAGCCTTCAGTATCCAGGACAGCATGAGTGGAAAGAAGTGAAAGCCTTCTTTCTTAATCTTGAGCAAGCCAGATGCCAAGTTATATACCCTCATTCTGCCCACCACCTCTACCTTTTGTCTTACCTATATTTGTCATTTTGTCCTCTACTATTCTCCTTTTTCTATCCTCCTCTTTCCATAATTAGAATGGTTACAGGAAATATATACAAATGAAATAACACCAGATATCAGGACCAGGTGAATCACAAACTAAAATAGGAAATATGACTAAGGGTTGGGGATGAAGTGTTTGCCACATGCCAGATGAGGTGTTTCACTGTTGTTCTGGTAGAGCTTCCTGGTGGCCAAAGCAAAAATGGGAAGCAGAACTGATTTTGTAATTCAGAAAATTTGGTAAATTGGTTTTGTGATATATGAGTAGTGTGGAAATACATTACTGCCATCTGAGTAATATAAGTTTTTCCTAACCCTTGACTCTTAGAGGAAAATTTCAAATGCTGTATGCAGATGATAGTAAGTATTGTCATGTATAGTATCCATGGCCCTATCTCTGAGTGCAAATGCAGTAACAGGTTTCATAACATATTTCCTGGAATATTCTCTGAAGAAAGCTACCAGAATGGCTTCAAACTATGATTGAATGAGAACCTTTAGAAAGCAGAGTAAAATACAACTTCATAATGGTTTACCTTGATCCAACAGCATTTCCCCAACTGTGTTTCTCAGAACTCCCAGAATCATTTATAGCATTAACAAATGTCAGGTAAGAAAAGGGTTCCAGGGTTGGAGATGTAGCTCAGTTGTAGAGTATGTGCTTAGTATGTGCAAGGCTATGGGTTCAATCCTCAGCTCCACCAAAGGGTGGTGGGGTGGAGTTTTAAGAGGAAAATAAGCTTGAAGTGAAATCAGGACTCAACAAAATCAAGGAGGTGGGATTTTGGGAGGGGTTTTTGCTTTGCTTTGCTCTTTGTTGTTGTTGTTGTTTAATAACTGTAGCTGAGTCCCAAGGAACACAGAGGCAGGAATTCTGGGACAAGAATATGAGTGAAGACTCTTACAGCAGTCCAGGGCAAAGAGAAGAGAGAGGAGCAAGAGGGCAGTTGCTTGGGACCTGGCTCTCGGCTACTACTAGCATGGGACACGTGAAGGAGCTGGCTGTGAACAGAGGCCAGGGCTGGGTCAGCCAGATTGATTTCACCACATTGCAGCTCCCTGGTTCTTTCCCCGATGAACTTGATGTGAGATCAAAAGTTCAGATCAGAAACATCCGCATCAGGGTGCGAGTCTGTGGTTACCTGCACTGTGTGACTTCTGGGTGACCCCTCCCAGGTCCCTCAGGTGCAGCTGGTGTGAAATCCCACCCCCGCTTCAGTCTGTGCACCTCAGCCTCAAGATGAAAGAAACTGCATTTCAAAGAGAAAAAGAATAATTTTATTCCAAATTAATGAGTTTACGGTTGTACAGCAATTGAAACAAGCAAGTATATTTTCTTTGGAGATTTGGGAGGATTCACTTATGTTTCCGGACTTTTAAGATTACATGCATAACGTGGAGTTGGAAGTGAAATCTACCATTGTGCCATTTTCAGTCTCCAGAGACATTCTGTATCTTCCCTGGGGTAGGCTTGCTTCAAGCCATGCTCAGACCCTGCCCACAGGCACTTCTTTTTAAGAAATACTGTGTAAACAGATTGCCAAGTGTCTTTCCACATCCCTGGGAAAGATCAATTACACCCGGATCAGTTACGACTTAAGGTGCATAAATTACCGAGTCATCCCTGCCGAGCAGACTCCCAAGTTGGGGAGAGGGGAGCGGTGCTTAAGTAATCTTCCGTAATTTCCCCAAGTGTTATCATCTCCATTTTATCAAATTTATAACTGAACTTCGGGGAAGTTGCAGTTCTTGCTCAAGTTCACACGGCCAACAGAGTGACAGGAGCCAATTTCCAGCTACAAAGTTGATAGAGAGGCTAATTAAAGCAGGGCACCTTTAAGAAACAAAGCTGTCCCCAAGCGAGGATGACAGGATGAGGACAAACTGAAGGAGCCCACTTCGTGAGTAGACAAAGAAGATACAGGCCACAGGACTCCACTCTGTTGTTCACCTGATTTTTGACATCTTATAAATAAATGTGGTTAGACGTGGGTTTTCTCTTCCTTAGCCTCACCCTTTCTGAGGTCTAGCAAACAGAAAAGCACAATAATATGTAGGGCCATTTAAAGCAGGAAAAATAAACAGTGTCTTTTAGCATAGTAACACACAGACATGAGGTCACTCCTGGCTGTGTACAAAGTCTGATTGTCTTATCAGTGCTTGACCTTGTAAGACAGAAAGTAAAGGCTTGTTTTCTCCATCCACCTCTTTGTTAGTAAAACGCCTTTCATGTGAAGTTTAATTTAAACTCACTTACAAATAAAGCTTGGGAAATGTAGCTCAGATGGTAGGTACTTGCCTCTCATGCACAAAGCCAAAGCCCCAGCACCACAAAATACATACATACATATATACATACATACATACATACATACATACATACATACACACACATGGTCATTTTTTATGCGTTAATAAAACTGAAAAATCCAAAGACAGATTCTGGTTTCAGGCAAGGATAGACTTAGGTGTCCAAATAATGTCTCTTTCTTCTTCCTCTACCCTGAATTTACTCTTGGGCATGTTCTCTGCACACTGGCAACTCCTGAGTTCCACCCTCAGGAACACATTTTTTTTTTTTTTTTTTTTTTTTTTTTTTTTGAGAAAAGGAAACAGTTTTTCTCAAGAGTTCTAACAGAAATCTCAGAAATGAAGCTCATTGGCTGGGTTTACATCACGTGCCTATGGCTGAACCAATCGCTGCAGCCATCAGGATGGGATATGCTGATTGGTCTATCCTGAATAATGGTCCATCAGCTCCCCACCCCCTTGACATCCAGAGGGAAAGATCAATCCCAGCAGAATCACACCAAGCTGCAGTGGGGAGCAGTGGCTGCTCAGAGTGGAAACCAGGTCCCTGTTACCCACAGAGGGGAAGATGCTGGTCACCGATGCCCAGTGCTAGATCCAAAGTGCTGTCAGCTTGATCTGCATCAAACAGAAATGACTGATTCTAAAATAACCAGCTAAAAGTTGAGAACAAACGGGATGAGGTGGCCGGAGGACTGAAGTTCTGAGACAGAGGCCCAGAAGGAGAGGATGAGCCAGAATTACCCTACAAGGAGGGGCTTCCTGCCAGGTTGGCAGTGCCTGCCCCTTTGGAGACATTGTGTGACACTCAACAGGTGACACAAACAGCAGGGGACCCTTCGACACATATGATGTGGCCTTTTTAAGGCATTCTTGAGAGAGTGGACATCCTCGTACTATTCAGGGGACACATTTCCTAACTGCCTCGCTGCATCTATCTGCCAATCCACGTGAGTCTTGCCAGTCCAAGGCAGCTGTCTGAGGCCGATTGTGTCTGTGTGAACTAAGAAAGCTGAGTTCCAAGAGACTGTAAACCAAACCTTGGATACCTATAGGTCCTGTTCCTCACGGCAGGGCCCCTTGTCATGCAGCCAGCAGGCTTACCTGACCACACGCTACCCTTGTTTCCAGGGCTCCAGAGGATCACAGTAAGACCCCGGGAATGGGGTTTGCTTAGAGTGGACCCAAGTAAATAGCAACTATTCTCATAATGATTAGGAACAGAATGCATGCCGAGGACACCAAAACAACGGGACATTATCAGGTGCTTGCATGTGGCAGGGTCCCAATGAGATGTTCATGAATCAGCAACTTAATACAGCTGTTGAGACCACAAGGACCTGAACAAGACAGCAAGTGCTAAGGACCTGGGGTGACTTTGGCTTTTGTTTCTATATTTAGCCTGCCTTCCTCACCATCTGCTCCAAGAACTTCTCAGTCACTACTTCTGTCTTTCACAGAATCACCTGTTTTTCCATGTGCTCAGGCTGATCCTGATATCCAGAAGGTTTTGTCTGAGACCTGCCTGTGGAGACATTTCTCAGAGTCTTCTGTTCCACCTGCATCAGAATCACAAGAATGTTTGTTAACTGTGCAGATGTTTTGATCCCATCCAGATCTCCTAGATGCCCGTCTCTGGATTAGCAATTGCATTTTACAAGGTGGAGAGGAGGCTCGAAGGGAGTTTGTGACCATATCCCAAAAGTCATGTAAGCGCTCTCTGGAGAGCTGGCTTAGACAGGAAAGTCCTGATTCATTAGGCCCCACCCCATTTGGCCCTTCTGTCAGGCAATTCAAAGTCTCCAGGCCCCCGAGTTACTGATTAACCTTTGGTTTCGAGTAAAGAAATAATAATAAGTGAAGGGACAGACATAAGCCAAGAAAGGAGCTGGAGAGCCCCAGGAGAGAGTGGTGCCTGACAGCTGTTAACAGAAGGCATTTGGGGAACGTGAAAAAGAGGCTTGAAGAGTCTGGCACAGGATTGGAATCTACCCAAGTCCTGGTGGCACTGGCTGACCCTCTCTGTCCATGTCCAAGCTCTGAGCAGCTCTGTCTCATTGGCTCTGCGCCCAGGATGTCCTACACTGAGACCCCACAGAAGCCCCAGCCCATCGCAGTAGGAGCCACCACCATCGCTTTGAGGCCCGCTGGTCATCACAGAGGCTCCACAGGGGTGGATTTGGAGTGCCTGGTATGCCGGGAGCCCTACAACTATGCCCGGTCACCCAAGCTGCTAAGCTGCCAGCACAGCTTCTGTGCTGTCTGTCTGAAGCTCCTGCTGTTTGTGCAGGAAGACACCTGGTCCATCACCTGCCCGCTGTGCCGTAAGGTCACCGTGGTTCCCGGGGGCCTCATCTGCAGCCTGCGTGACCAGGAGGCAGTGATGGGACAGCTGGCTGGGCTGTGCCTGGAGGTGCAGCTCTGTCCCCAGGGGCTGGAGGGTTCTGCCACTTCGACAGTGGGGCATCCAAGTTTGGCTGGAGAAGATGAGCAGGATGCAGTGACTGCCAACCAGGTGGCAGCTCGGCGCCTGGCCGTGCACCTGCTCCTGCTGGTCCTGCTCATCATCCTCATCTTGCCCTTCGTCTACCCGGGTGTCATTCGGTGGGTGCTGGCTCTTGTCATCACGCTGGCCTTGCTGATATCCACCTTGTTCTGCTGTTACTCTCACAACCAAGACAGCTGCTGGCTCTGCCCCAGGACTCACTTCTGCAGAGAACAGAAACACAGTCAGATCACTTCCATCGCCTGAGAACCCTCAGACCCTGCGGCTCAGCCGCTCAGCCGCCTCTGGGCTTCTGGGGTCCCTGACTTTCACAGACCACAGGGTAAGGAGCAGTGAACTCAGCATGACTCCTTTGAGACTTCATGCCAGCTGAATTTGCATGCCAAAGCCAGAATGGCCGCTTTGGGTCAAAAACTCTGTGCTTGGGCAGTGGGCTGGCACCTACCCTTGCTATGGCACAGCCAAATGTGAACGGTGTGGGGAGGAGGCACAGGTGACTTCAGTGCAACAATGGGGGGTTTTCCATTCCTCTTGTGATGTCCTTGTTTTTTTCTGTATACAACTTGAAAGTATTGTAATATTGACCTTGCAGAATATATAGAACTGACTTCTGTTTTGCATTCGCTATGGCTGATCTCATCTTGATTTGGCTTAGGTGGGTGCGTCGTGCTGGGGGTAGTTGGTGTACATTTTAGCTGTTATGAGTTTTCTCTCCTGGGAAGCAACTTCCATGCTTTGTCTGACATGGTTCAGGCTGCCCATTCCAACCTCACCACAGGCCCTATTGTTGGGGTATCCCACTGGATCAATCCCAGGGTGGGCAGGAGAGGGGTTGTGTGAGGAATGGTACTTTGATGCTATAGAGGAGCCTATATTTAGCAGGCAGAGTTGAGGGGTAAAGGAAAGGAAGGTGGATCTGGGAATTGCTCCCAGCATCTAGACTGGGATTCCCACTCTGCACTATGAGGAATCTCAGGGTACAGGACTGAGTCCCACACCCCAGCGTAATGAGTCCATGCCCATCTGATGCCACAGTGCCACAGCACAGAGCCAAAACTTTTATGGATGGTGCTGTCTTTGTTACTACATCCCATACCCCATTTGAACTTTTGCCATAAAGATAAGAGGCCTTGTAAATGCAACGGTCCTCACCAATAATCCCATCTTTCCGACTTACCCTGACAGTTGCAGTCACTGGAAAGGCTCTGGTGTCTTCTCTTGGGGGCCATTCCCGCTTTCTTGGATAAGAAAGGCATCTGCTGGAGGGGATGAGCTTCCACGGAGGGCAGCTCAGTCAGGGCTCAGTCAGGGCTAGGTGTGGGAGCACAGGGGAGCAGACGGTGGGAGATGACCTATTATTTCCTTCCAAAGGCCTCATAATTAAGAACAGTTTGAAACCTCAGCAGGGTTCACCATGCACTGCCCATCCCTTGCACTGACTTCCCTGTCCATCCCCTTTTCTCCTGGTAGGTATAAGCCACATCCTGGGCACAGTGCATGATGATGGTGCCTTTGCCAGAAGGGATGAGAGAATACTGCCCATGAAGCAGGAACTGAACCCAGCTCTCTCTGAGCTGCATTTTCCCCAAGAAGCCAGCCAGATTGCATTATTCCTAAAAACCCCTAGAGCTGGGGGCACCAGCAACCCCAGGATAACAGACATCGGCTGTGCCCTCTGTGGATTCACACAAAGAGAAATCTAAATATACCCTTGAAAATTGGTGTTCCTTAAGTCTGATTGCCTTTTTTTTTTCTTTTTTTCTTATAAGGTACTTGCCAAGCAACTCTGGGTGCTGGGGGCTGGGAGTAGGTGTGCATGGATGTATGCTAGTGGTCCAGGCCACTTGGGCCTGAAGGACACCCTGTCCCCATGGATGAGCAAACAAAGAGGACTGTTAGCATCTCCTGAGCTCGCCTGGGGCATGCACCACTTGGGATGACTGCCAGTCAGGTAGAAAAAGAACATTTCCTCCCCACCCACTCCTCCAGGCCCATTCTAGCTAGTTCCTGAAACCTTCAGGCTTCAGATTCTAATGACATCATTTCTACCATAATAGTGGGTGTATGTTAATCCAATCCTTAAGGGTGCCTAGCTTAGCCCCAACTGATTTACATGGCTTATCTAATCAAATCTTCTTAATGAGCTTATTATAAAATAGAGAAGCCATGATGGCTCACACCTATAATCCCAGCACTCGGAAGGCTGAGGCAAGAGGATCATTGCGAGTTTGAGACCAGCCTGGGCTACAAAGTGAGCTCAAGGCCAGCCTGAACTGCATAGAGAGACCCCGTCTCAAAAAGTATATATAAAATAAAATAAGAGACCATTATTGTCTCTCTCTTCTGGCAGAAGTGACTGAAATTCTGAGAGGTGAACTCACTCGCCTAAGCCTGGAGGACCTGGTGATGCCAGAGCTCCCTTGAGAATTAACCCAGGCCTCTTCCTGTCCCACCATGTGGCCTCTTTTGGGGCAGCTCCAGAACAATCAAGAAGCTGGACAACATTTGCAATGCCTCTGGTGGATGCCACAGGGAACAAGAAACAAATTTCAAGAGTCTCCAGATTCCAGTGGTCAGAGACTCAGAGAGGTCAGGGAATTTTAGAACTCATACTCAAGAACAGAGAATGATAAAAGGCAGGACGGTTCTCCTGCAAACTGTCACCACCCAGTGCCACCTTCCCTGCAGGGAACCAAGCTAGCAGAAATACTGATATCCCATGTTTGAGACCCCACCTGCCCCATCTGCATGCTTTAACAGGTTCCCTTACCACCCTGAACCTCAGCTTGTGAAGGCCAGAAAGGCCCCTAGAGAGATGAGTCCTCTGGTATCATTCCTGGTACTTGGTATCCTCCACCCAATACACTCTATGTTTCCTTCTGCAAAGGTGTCCTGACACTGATGGCCCCACCCCCTTCAAAGCCCAGCTGGTGCCCCTCTGGCCTTTGGCAGCATGGGGATAGAGAATGGCAGAGGTTGATGCCACTAGGCTATAATAGAAGTGGGCAGAAGAAACAGTTAGCACTCATAAGGCCCAGGGTTCGAGGCCAAGCTCTGACTTGGGGATAGAAGGAAGTCACCGAACTCCTGTGAGCCTCAGTCTGCGTCTGTAAGGTGGGGAAGGGAGTACCCATCTCCCAGGGCCTCCCTGGGATTAGGATTAATGCCATCATTGACTGAGGAGAATGGATTGCGGGGGGGGGGGGGCTGTTTAGTGTGACAGCCAAAAAGGCCCAGCCTCAGTGGCAGGGTAGAGAAGCCAACCCAGGGTGAGGAGAGAGTCTTATCCAAAGCAGAGAAACTGGGTACAGATTCTGCTTCAGTCCTTAGGATGGAGAAGAATTGGGAGTGTCGGGGACAAATTCCACCCCCTTCAGATCAATCCTCTGCTAAGTAGTCTTAGAGGCTGGAATCTATCTGGCTGGAATTCCAGCCTCACCTCTTACAAGTCACCTCATCTGTGCGTCTCAGGTTTTTCTCCATGAAACAGAGGTTCCAGCCAGGTGTAGCGGTGCAGGCTTTTAAACCCAGCACTCTGAAAGGTGCTCAGCCCCAGCAGGTGGCACCTTAATCTCAGACTTCTCACTAGGACTGAGCATGAACATGCATTTCCACTGGTGTGGCCCCAGTCCTGGGACACCAGCACGGTACTCCCTGTGCTCATTAAGACGGACTACTTCAAGTTCAGCTAAATGACTCGCCCATAATCCTACGGCAAATGCTTAGCAACATCAGGCTTAATATCAAGTCTGACTGATTTCCCAGTCTGACTCTCACTTTCTTCTCCCATTCTGCGTATATTTTCCCCCTAAATGTTCAACATCTTGTAGACGGAGTTAGAATCAGAACCTTTGTTTCTCAAATTATTCTTAGTTTTCCTTTATGGGTGCTCCGGGGACAGGGACATGTGGAAACAAAGCCAGGGTGGCCAGTCCAGAGCCATTTGCATGGCAAAGGTAGGCATCCAGACATGTAAGAGGTACTGAATCCTACACCATAGCAGCAGCAGGATCAGTGGGGAAAAGCAAGTAAGCTGGAAAGTAAACAAAATATTTGGGGCAGAGGAAATGGTCACGGGGAGCAGGGCCTGACACTCAGGGGTTTGTGTGGCAGTTAGGTTGTTGGCTCTCAACTCGATTAGCTTGAAACATACCCAGGAGACCACTAGTAAAGCACATCTGGGAGGGTCACGTGAGCCTGGTCTTGGAGACTCTAGCTGGTTGGTGGCCTCTTCTTCTCCAGGGCTCTTCCCTGTTCTCTCTGCTTGCTGATTTCCAGGAGGTAAATAATTTTCCCCTTCTGTGCCCTTTGGCCATGATGTTTCTGCCTCCAAACCAACCAACCATGGACTGAAACCTCTGAACCCGTGAGCTATATAAACTTTTCTTCCTTTAAGCTGCCAATTGTTTTGGTCACAGTGACGAAAGCTAACTAATACAGGGAGTCTGCTAGGCATGTGGCAGAGTGAGGTAGGTGAGCCCAGAGTTTCCTGGTTGCCCAGAAGCTCAAACATTACAACAGGAGATCTCTGCTGGCAGACTCTGAGGGGTAGTCAAGATGAGCCATTAAACAGATATGTCTACGAGAGTAGGTAGGGGTCCAGGGAAGAAAATGCCAAGGAACTTGGGCTGTTGCTGTGCTATGGATGCCAGGGTAATCCCCTATCTTTCTCTGCGAGATTCTGGTCTCCATTAGCATCATCCCTGTGTGGTAAGAATGCAGGATAAGGTCATATCATACTGACATGATATTCACTTTTTTATTCAATAATAAATATTTGTTGAACACCAACCATAAACCAGATATTGGGTTAAGTCCCAGAGATATAAAGGTCAGAAAAACATAAGGGCTGGGTCCCCAGTGAGCTCACAATGCAGGGGACAAGACTTAATTTTGTTTGTGTAGTAATATGTCTAATAGTCTGGCTCCGGGGTCATGCTTTAAAGGACTCTGATAGAATTCTGGCGTGGCTGAAAAGATAAGAAGTATGAAATATAAATGACCTTTATTCTAAGAATGTGGGGAGAGACCCCCTGACCCTCCGGAGTCTGGCATTGTCTCCGGGGGCTGGCATTCTCTCCAGCAGACACGTGGTATGGGGGCACACATGTAGCTTAGGTTTGGGGTGGTGCTAAGGGGCATTAGTGGTGCACAGGTAGCCCACTGGTATTCATTTCACGCCACGGGTAAATTCCTAGGGGCTGGGAAGATGGAGCCCCCTGGTTCCACCTCCCAGCCTCCTCCCAGCTACAGTGTCCGCCCTAGGGCAAGATTCTTTCATTCCCGTCTTTTGATTGTTAGGAAAAAGGGCGAAGATTTTTTTTATTACTTCCTGCTGGAAGGGGGCGCTGTAATGGGGTTTAGGAGAGTAGACGGGATGACAGTTGATGCCCATGTAGAAGCTGGTGCCAGGTGTTTTAGCCAGGACAACTTTATCACTGGTGAATGCCCATATGTTAGACTGGAAAAACAAAGAGACAAGGTATTAGGAGGAGGCATGGCACTATCATATTTAAGGACCCAGGTGAGGTAGGAGGAAAGGTGCCTTTGATTTGGATATGTCATTTTATCAGGACCACGTTGAGGTAGAATCATTGCCATGGTAAGGTAGAATTCTGAAAAATAAG